GCGCACACCTCGTCTTGAATGCCACACGCTTGGTACAAGAGGTGGCTTAACGAGATCGAGCCGCGGGCGACTGAGGTCGTGACTTGGAGGCGCAGCGTCGAGGCGCCTTCGAGAAGTGTGAAGACGGGTACGTTGAACTGATTTGAGTCGAACGCGTTGTGAACCAACCCCATGTACACGTCCATGTTGGCGATTTGCTCGAGGTTGTAGGTGCAGAACGCCACGATCGTCGCAAGCGCGAGGCAGAGGTTGGACAAGACAGCTCCTTGGCCCATGCGCATTCGGGTTCGTTGGCGCTTCAAAGACGTCGCGGACGCAACGTTGATGCGCGGCATCGCAAGGGGTCGCTTTCGAAGGCGGTGTGTTGTATTTTGGTCGACTTAACGTTTCACGAGTTCGATGTTGAGCGTTGGTTTCACCGCGCCTGTTGGTGCTTGGGATCGGATGGATCACGTGTCGTTGGCGCTGTAGAGAGTTGGAAAGCTGTCGAGACTGCGCGATGCACCTAGAGTAGTAAGTGGCTCGCTTTGCCGAACTATAGTAGACTCGCGCTGTATTCGCAGACCCAACTCATTTCAAATCAGTGTGCTGAAGTTAGCACCTCAAAAGTCGACGGATTGTGTCGATTGATGGGATCGAAATGTCGCTCGCTTGGGCTTGGCGTCGATTCACAAAGCTGTTGAAACGGTGTTGTCCAGAGCAGGTGCTGAGCTCCATCTTCATGGCAATCTCGTCCGACCGACATCGATGCGCCGTTGTTGTGATAGACCGATTGATGCGATGAATGTGGCCCGTTTTCAATCCCGCGTTTTGGATTTGCAAAAGCTGCACCTGCTACGCTGGAGAGTCAGCTTTCTGGTACTGATAGTACTTGCACAAGGCTGGTGGTCGTGATGACGTGGGCAGCCAATGGACAGACTCAAAGCCAACCGTGCGTCATTTTTGTCTAGCTCGACAGTTGTTTCGACGACGGTGGAACTCTTCGCCACAGACATATCAAAGTGGCGCTCGTTCTTATGGATTATTCGTACCATCCACACTCTGCTCGACGCCGTGGCAAGCTAATGGCATCAACTATATTCGCGCTTGTGCGACGTTAACGCTGGGCAGTCTATAGACCGATGCGACAATTCGCGGCAGTTGTTGCAGCCATGAAAGCGTGGCACCTTTGTGTTCGCACTGTGGGTTTCGCCCACGGACAAAACTCGCGCGGTTGCGTGCGTCCACGCCGTCTGTCGATCGTACAGCGAAATGCCCCCTCGAAGCGCCGTGTCGTCTTGTGCTGTCTTGGCCAAAACGGCTGCAAACATGACACCACTAAACGTCTTGGGGCGAAGCAGGGACGTCGTGTCGGGTTGCTGCATGCTAGGTTAGTCTGGGCGTGTCGAGTTGCGAAGTGCTGTGTCGTTCGACGACAAATGCAATGTGAGCCGGCCGAGACCTTTGGCTCTAAACCTTCGACCAGATGGTGGTTTCATGTTCCACGATCTGTGACGTGGCACGACCTCCGATAAGCCTTCGAAATTACTTGTTGAAGTTAATGGATCAAGCTATGTTCGGCTGTGCGCCAACGGCCATTGCCTTGATCGGTGATGGACCGCGACCCCGTTGTGGTACGCTCCACGAATAGGGACCCAATCAAATGGCTCACAAAGGCCGCAATACCATAAGGTCGTCGTCCCACCTGTGCTGTTATCGAGCGGTCGAGTGCCAGCGTGAATACGGGGCTATTTGCCTTGAATCACATCGACAAGAAAGCAGCGCTCAGTACTTCTGCAGAATCATAAGTGCCTCCATTACACGCTATGCAGTAGCTTCACGAGCGGTGCTCCAAAATCGAGCCCATCGAGCACAAAGTAATCGCACATGACGTTATTAACAAATGCCAGACGCGAGGATTTCGTCGCCGTCGACGTGGACGCAGTGCATCGGCACGTAGTACGACCGACGCGTGATCGTGTTCTGCTCAATGTGCACAACGAGAATGGTCCGAAATTTGTGGACTACGAACCGACGGCCGGCGCGAGGAACACACCAGGAGAAGAGCAGTCCATATTGCGCATTCCCGATCCGAGTCAAGTACGTATTCGTGACCCGCAGCATGTTTTTCATCACCAGAATACCATGGTCGATGACGATGTCTCCATCATGAGTACGAGAGACGCAGCCGCGGCCCGACGTCGCAAAGTCTCGAAGGTCTTGAATACTGAGGTACTCGAGCATCGAGTGAGTTGGCGGCACGACTACTGACTCGGGGAGCCAGCGCGCGTGCAAATGAATGGTTACGGCAGCCACGACAACAACGGCGGCTGCCATGACCGCCGAGAGATAGTACGTCACCGGAATCGCTGTCAAGTGGATGCAGTTGGTCGACGATGAGTAGCCGCATGGTCCCGGAACGTTCTTATTCATATAAGGAAACGTGAGTGCTTCCAAGGCAAAGATCACACAAAAGTTGAGCAGCGAGAAGAGCGTGAGCAACCACGTTTGAGTCACGACGCGGGGGGTAAAGCAGAGCTGAATGAACGGCCCCGTCATGATGCCAACAATCGAGGCCACTTGGGCGGGGCCGCAGAGGTGAAGGATACGAGCTTGCGTTGACCGCACGTCGTTTTGAGCAAAATAGGTGGTGAGCGTCTGAAGGTTGGTGTTGCCCCAAAACGTCACAAACAAAATTGAGATGCCGAGTATGTTCTTGGAAAGACACACGGCCACGAGGCTGATTTGGCTCTGTTTGGCAAAAAGCCACTGGAGAATCGCAAAGTAGGCAATCGCACACCAGAGAAAAATGGCGTTCGTGAGCATCAGAAACGAACTCTCCCAACGGAGACTGACACGGCCCTGCAACTCCAAAAGCCACCCGAGACGCGTTGTTGGATTATAGTCGTAGCAGCGCGACGCACAGAGAATGTCCCAAGGTGTACTAGCCTGCACAATGCCAGCTTGGTACTCTTCGACTGAAGGGACAGGACCGAGTAAGACATGTCCAAACTGATCGCTGTGAATGACAGCAGTCGCTCCACCATTGAGGTAGACGTCTCGCATATGTAGTGATCCCATATAGATGGCGGTCGCCTTCTGGAGCTGCACCACATACACGGGTGTGTCGAGCGGCACGTCGTTCTCGCAGCGCCATTTCGGGTCGAACGCCCGGTGACTGCAAAATGCTAGTGTGTCTACGCGGCTCGTGTTGCCGTTGATCGAGTTGTTTGCTCGTCGTGTCATGCATGTGATGGCCGTCTCGTAGTTGGGAATGTAGTATTGAACCAGAGCCTTGTTCCAGCCACTGAGACTGTTGACGTGCTGGAAACGAATGTCTTCGGCTTCGTCCTGAAAGCGCGGCGTGTCGAAATCTGGAATCTGGCGAAATGCAAGACCAACGTGGTACCAGATCTTGTTGGCTTCTGGAGCAAACGCATTGGCGCATGCGGTATCTTGAATGCCACAAGCCTTGTATAAGAGGTCGCTGAGCGAGATCGTCCCGGTGGTTGCGATATGGGACGTGTTGAGGCGTAGCGAGGACGTGGCTTCGAGAAGCGTGAAGACGGGTACGTTCCACTGATACGAGTCAAACATGTGGGCGTTGAAGCCAAGGTAGACGACCGAGTTGGCGATTTGGTTGAGGTTGTATGTGCAGAAGGCGACGACGGTCGCCAGAGCCAGACAGAGGTTCGACAAGAGAGCACCTTGGCCCATATGCAGTGTCTTAGTTGGCACCGCATTCCGAGACGGTCCGCGCGTTAGCGGTGCAGTCGCCACCGCAGCGATGCGAGGCATGTTCGGTTTTGGATGTGCAGAGCGTTTCGTTATCGAGCAGGTCAAGGTTACCTCTGGCCTGACTGTACCTGCCCAATACGTGGTGTTCATATATCACGAACGCACCCACAACGCGCTCTTTCACGATGTGACGTTGTACGTGTAGTGGGAAGAAGACGTACCCTAGCTTGGGCGTTCACGTAGCTCCCGTCCCAACCTCGGTCTGTATTTTTAGGGTCGACATTGTAAATTCACAAAGAAATTGCCTGTGGGCTGGTGTACCCAGAGGTTCCTACCAATGTCATCTCCATGACCCATTTCGCTTGAGCATATTCTGCAAATGCAATTTGAAGCCGTCGTGGTCTCGCACAGGGTATATCAAGATGATACGCCTCCACAAGTACCGATGTCCAGTGTCGAGCCCTCGAAACAGTGTATAAAACAGTGTTTTCCAAACCAGTGTATCGTGTCGACCTCGGTAACCGTAAACAGTGTTTTTCCAAACCAGTGTATCGTGTCGACCGTTACGAGGACACCAGCAACACGATGCGGGTGGTCTACTTATGCATGGCCTCTTGGAGCTCGAGCGCTCTTGTCGCAGCTGCGGCCATTGGCGACTACGTAGCCTCGCAGTGTACGACATGCTGGCAACTTCAACATTGCGCAACGCTCAACGGACTCGCTTTGCCCGACCCGATTGTCGGGTACACGCGGTGCGTCTCTCTTGCCAGTGGCATCTTTGCTAGTGGCCTCGTTATGCTGCTCAACATGGCTAGGAACGCTACGTCGCAGCTCGAAAAGCAAGGCGTGTGCGAAGATTTAGATGCGTCTGTCGCGCGTCTCGGGGTGTTTGGCGCGGCGTATCAGTTTAAGGACACGCCCGCCTGCCGCGCCTCAGTACATCTGTGTACATAATTGTCACTCGAATTGGTTGCTTGTATCTAGGTCAACAAATTCAACTGCCTCTCGTGGGCAGCAGCCAACAATGCGTGTCCGAACGCACCGCTGCCGCCGTGTCGCTCCATGTGCGTCGATATCGCCGACACGTGTGTCTTCACGCCGCTCTACGCTCTTTTTCTGAGCGAAGTGTGCAGTCGGTTTGCTTGTGCCGAGAGTGCACCGACGGGGTGCGTCCCTGGTAAGCTCACTCGTACAAGATGGGCGATATGTAGTGTCCTGTAGGCGCCAACGAGCAGCTGCCGTCGTTCAACCGGTGCACACTGCACGACGACTACCGGCAACTTGCTTTGTCCGGCGCATCGCGAGGTACGCGTGGTGTTCTGTCTTGGCCATCTCGGCACAATGTTGTGTAGATGTGGACACGCTGTTTGTGTTTCTCATATTTCTTATTGGTGGCCTTCTTGGGTCCTAAGGTCATGCAACGATCAAGCCAAGTTGGCGGGTGCTCATCTTTCGCTCTCTGTAAGGTCGCTCTTCGCCGCTAGTTTGGCCCAAAGCCAAGACGCGGGCAGTCGATGGATCGGTGGGATGGCTCACGGCAGTTGTGACAGCCTCGAAACTTGGGCGATGCGGGGAGCTTTGCATCGGGTAGTGGCAGGCGTTTGAAAACGACGCTCGCAGGATGCCCTCCACGCAACGCAGCGTCCTTTGCAGCCATCGACGCGGACAACGGCGTCGTCGTCGCTAGAGTTGGCCGCTTGGACATGAATCGCAAGTGCACGTTTCAAGACGCTGGCAACGCTGAAACAACCTTCTCCCTTCAACTTCAACTGGCCAGCGATGTGGATATTTTTATGTGTTTAGATATCTCGTCGTGGCGTCAGTCGTTTGCAAGTCTTGCCAGCGCCAGCGAACGTTGTGGGCGAAGGAAACGAAGACCGACCTCAACACACGACACAAATCTACCGCATGTGTGGCCATACGTGCCTCATGGTGTACCTGGACCCGCAGCACGGCAATCTTGAGGCAAGGAAGTCCTGTCACGTGACGGCCAGCAGTTTCCGTCTTTGGATGATGATGGAGGCATAGACGAGCGTCGTCCGGCTGCAATCCGTCACAAGATCTTAGTGTTAAAAAGCGGCGCCGTCATCCCACGACACAAGGTGGGCACGTCGATCAAAATCGCGCAAAGTGAGAACAATGGAGTGGAGGGACAAATTGTCGTCTCGCTGTCCAGTCCGTTGTCCAAGCTGTTGTTCCCTGCGAGTTGAATCGCGCTGGCCGGGACCAGCGCTTCATCACCATCGTGCCCACAATAATACGAGGACAACGATCATGCAGCAAATGGCTACAGGTAGGGCTTTTCGAGACACGACACCAAGTAGGGGCAGTTGATGGACCGGTGCGAGGTTTGGTGGCAGTTGTTGCAGCCAAAAATGTGCAGGGATCGTGTTTTCACGGCACAAATGCCTTGGGACACCATGGCAGCCACAGTGCTTTGGCAGGCGATATGTACGTCCGTGCGAAGCCGCCATGAAGCGCCGTGTCGCCCTCACCCCTCGTTGTCGTCGGCTGGGCTGCCAAGACGCCACACTGAGCAGTCGAGCGGACGGCTAGCGGGGGACTACGAATGTACTATGCAACATCGGCGATCAAAAGGCAAAGTGAAGCGATGGCTGCCATTTGCATCGGGCGTTTCAAAAAATATGACGTGGCGCTTTGTGCGACAAGTATGTTGTTCGGACGTCGCGGAACGGCGTTTGAAGGCTTGCACATGGCCCATCGAATGTCTGCTGCCGATTTGCATTGCTAGTACGCATGACGTACTCGAACACAACACAGCGCCAATCGAAAACTCCTGTTTTTAAACGATGGGTCTTCTGTAGTGGGATCACAAAACCCTCGCACGCAACAAAAGAACGGCGCCTCGATAATATAGATACGTTGGTAGACCTCCCAGAGACTTCCAGAGACGTGGGCACTTGTGTCGTAGATCATTTGACGTCCTACCGGTAGGACAGAATTGGGCGAAATCCGCGATACCAATATACACGGTCTTCCGGAGGTACCGACCGGTCTTCCTTCCGCCCCATGCTGCTGCTGCTTGATGCAAGTGGGCAAAGCTACGTTCTTGAATGCGGGCTTGGTTCCAGCGACGCCCAACTGCCCCGGTGGATTAGAAATTGTCCGACCGCAGAAATGTGTTCGAGTGGCTATCCGGATGAACTCAGATCCAGATCGCGTGCCGTCGCCACGTGGAGTAGCTTGGGAACGCGCCTTCGGACGCCACAAGAAAACTCGCGGCACATTGACAAAAGACTAAATTAAAAAACGGTTGAAAATACAGTGTACGCCCAGCGCAACCGACGACGCCCCCGTGTGGGATACCAACTTAAATAAAAACAAGATTCGCCGCAGTCTTCACGCGAGCGCCAGCGGATCGTGTTCGTCGTCGTCGTCCAGCTTGGTATGGCTCGGCGCCTGCTCGAGCGCGAGCTTGTCGCTTTCTTCCTTGCACATTTCAAGGAGCGAGTTGGACCGACGGCGCTCCTTCTGAATGTAGCTGTGCGGCGGCGCGCTCGCATCGGGCGACAGCGTGAGTAGTGTGCAGTCGACCGTAATATGGTCAAAGTCGCCGCAGTTGCCGCAGCGGCTCTCACGCTTGCGGCCATCGGCCGTGCCGAGGAACGCGCCGCAGCCATTGTAATCGATCGGGCCGCGCCGAAAGACCCCGCCGCGCACCTGGAGGTCCGAGAGGCTGCGGTTGCGCTTGCCTTCGTCCAAGGCGGTGCGCGCATCGAGGAAGCTCTGGGCGCGCGCGAGCGTCGGCGGGAACGACGACGACGCGAGCGGCTCGGTGGACGGCGATTGGAACATCTTCTGTCTTCAACGTCGCAAAACTTCAAATAAAACCCAACGGGACTTGACCAAAGGGCAAGATCGCGAGCGTGACAAAAAGGGGACCGTCGTCTTCGATCTTCGCTTCCAGCTGGCGTGTTCCGAGCTGGCACCTGCCGCACGACCCGCTACGACAAGACTTGTCCGACGAGATACCACGATGGCGCCGCAGGACGACCACACATCGAGGCTCGAGGCGAGGCTAGCGAATATGTAAGCGCGGTAGGACTGGAAGAAGATGCAAGCATTGAGGAGTAGAAACGACTGACTCGAATGCGTGGAGGACGTTCGAGGATAAATAGCTTGCTTCGTACTGCACGGCTTTAGCGCCGAGACGGCGCGTCCAGGGTTCTGAAAACGAGCGCTGCGAGGGGCGTGGTCCAGGATTCGAATTTTCCGACGAAAGTTCGATGCGCTGGGATTGGCTGCATGTTTGACTTTGCACCAATCAGCAAGGATTATATGGGAGGTGCACCGATGACAGCGTGCTGCCACCGGCGCAGTTGGGTCCGCAGTTGCGGCAGAGGACACGGGCTACTCGCTAGTTCTCGCCGGCTTCTCTGGCGTGTTGCGCACACATGTGCACCTGGCGTCGTCGCAATCTACCGGTACGTTGGCGGCGTTGGCAGCGATCATTTGGCGTCTCAGAAATGCACGAAAATCCTGTCCGGCTGCTTGGGCCGAGGATTGCACCACGGTGGGTCGCAGCCACATCCGCAGAATTTGAGCTTCGGCCCAGATTTTGGAGAGGCCACACGTGGCGGTACCCACGACGGCGACGCCAGTGCATCATCAATGTGCACTTGACGTGGCCGTCGTTTGGCTGCACCGCCCACTCTCTTGACGTTTATGCAAGGTCGCCACTCGAGAGGCAGTCCATGTATACGGGGTCGGACTCAGTTTCTCTTGCGGCAAGATGTATTGTGTATTGTGTATTGTGTCAAAATACGGTGGCGTCCGGCCCGCCGACAGACAAGGTTCGCCCAGCAGTTCGCCCTCGAGTTGGAGCTGCTCGTACCGGTAGCTACAGTCGACGCGCGTGTTGCAGCACAATATGTCCTGTCGAGCACGTGTGATGTAGCTGGCTTTGCCTAGTTGCATGTTTACGGTCAGCAATCACTCGGCGTGTGACCATACTTGATCTTGCCGTCGCAATCTCGCACGCTTGTTCTCGCTCGCCAGGCCCTTGCGATTCCGGTGACACCACATGTGAGGCGAAGATACGATATTAAATTCAAAGCCAGTACCAAAACTAGGCGTGGAGAAGGTGCAGGGGCAAGTCAAACCCGCGCTCTAGACCCAGCTCCATGCATTTCTGCACCATGACGGGGTCCTGCGACGCATACAAAATGGATCGGAGCCCGTGACGGTTGAGCGTCACCATGCGCGACGCCATCAAATCGACGAGGCAGTGGACGGCGGGCCAAACTTGTCGAGGACCTCGCCGACAATGTGTCCTGGCAACACGCACTGCGTCGACTTGGCGTACGTAATGAGCGCGTTGACGTCGTCGACGGTCGTCGCCGCGTGTCGCAGCAGCGCCACGATCGTCCGAGGCGTGAGCACCATGGACGCGGCCGCGCACTGCCGGAAGCGCGCCATGCCAATCTCGGGCTCATGAAGCACGAGGAACCTGACAATACCCGTGACATCGACTGGATGGGACGCGGTGGTGTCGGCGAGCATGCGCCCGAGCTGACGCCGACCAAGGGCCAGCGCCCGCTGCGCGGCGTGCGACGCCGTGTCGTAGTCGGAAACCGTTGCCCCAAGGACGATGCCGTTGGTCAGGATCAAGTCGGCGTCCATGAGGTTCAAGATCGCGTCGACAACCTCTTCGTGGTCCTTGCCGCCTTTGGAGAGAATCGTCGTCGCCATCACGACGGGCAGTGCCACACGAGACGACAAGGCGTACTCGAGAAGCGTGACCACGTGCCCCGGGGTCCGGTGGACGGCCATGACCATGTCCTTGAGCGTCTTGGGCGAGATCGGAACGTTGGCCTTGACTAGACTTTCGAAAAGGGCCATCGCCGTGTCCGTGCGCCGGTGTACGAGAAAAGCGAGAAGGTGGTGGTGGCACTCGGCCGGGGCGAGCGCGAGGTAGTCCATCGTGGCCGTGTACCGCGACGGTTCGGGCGGCGCGTCTTTCGAAAGATACGCGTACAAGCGCAGCGCGTTTGCCACGTCATTGTGCCGCAAACAGGCGCGGATCGCGGCGTCCACGTGGCGGAGGCTGGCGCCGTCGTCAATGTGATCCGACTCGATCGCGGTCCAGAGAAGCTCCAACAGCGTCGAGAGGCCGTACGACGAGACCGTCATGCCGCTAAAGCCCGTTGCAAACACGTGGTACGGCACCGGCGCCACGCGCAACGCGGCCGCCACCGCGTCGCACGCCAAGCCATGCTTGCCTTGGCGGAAGAGCGCCGACGCCACGCTGCTGAGAAGCTTGCCGGATGCCTGCAGCGCAATGGGCGAGCTTTGCAGCGCTTGAAAGAGCGGCTCAGCCACGTCCTTGTTATGGCACAATGCAAACTGCACCCAGAGACTTTGGAAATCCGGATACGCGTGGAGCGCGCGGAGATTGTCGACGAGGTTGGCCAGCGGTGGCGGCAGAGTCGGATACAGTGCCGTGGCGATCGCGAGGGCTTCTGGAATCGCATCGAGCTTGAGGCAGACGCGCACGATGGACGCGCCAAACGACGGGTAGCTCACGTTGACGCGCTGCTGCTGCAAGAGCGCAAGGAGCGGCGATGCGAGCGGGCGCGGGTCGCGCGGGCCGCGGTCGTCCGTTGGTTCGCACGCGAGAAAGCACTGCAGCAACGCCTCCGGTGGCACATGCATGTTGCGCGTCTGCGCCATCTGCAGCACTTGGAGCACAGCGCGGGTTTCCCCGGCTTGGGAGAGCGCCATGAGCATGTCCTTGAGCGCAGCGGGCGGCAAGGTCACGTTGAGCGTCTCGTACGCACGCAGCAGCGTCGGCGCGAGGTGTACGTCGCGCTTCATGAAGAACGCAGCGGTCTTTTGCGCAAGCGCCGGGTTGAGCGCATCAATGTGCGCAACAAAGTCGGTGAGCACATCGAGCTTGGCGGCCGAGTTGGGCGACCGCAGTGAGAGCGCGCGAGTGACATCGCCGGCCTGGAGGTGGCGGCGCAGCGTCGCCAAGCGCGGCGCGGGCGGCGCGGCCACGACTGACGCGAAGCGCGCCAGCCAACGTCCTCGATGGCCGGCCATCGAACTATTGGAAAATGTGATTGATACGCGCCGTCGAGTCGGTGGCGCCGGCCGCTGATTGGCCAAAAGTCCCGGTCCACTGCATGTTTTTGCAGCGTTGAACCGACGGGCAACCATGCTGGCGCATATTATGCAGCCAGCAGACCATAGCCTATTGTTGGCTGCAAGCAGCCATAACAAGACGTTTTGTCGCGGAGCTGCGTTGTCTGTCAGGCGAGAGGACGGTGCAGCGTGGTCGCAGCACAGGGCTGTAGAAAGGCCATGTCGAAGTGGCTTTTGTAACCGAAAGGTTAGGCGACTTCCACAGCCTTCGCGTTGACTAACAGAGAGAGGCCTTGTCTAACAAGGTTGTAGAGACGAAGAAGTGAAGGACTCTCAGCGACGACGAGCGACGTAGGCTTCGACGACTTGACTCGGACACCGGTAATGGACGCCGAGAGGTTCGAGCAGCTGAAAATCGACCCTGGCCACTTCCAATTACCGCCGGCTAACCTCGGACGGCGGGACATCAACGCAGTTCCTTACTGCAGCTCTGTCCGATTCCGAGCGGGACAGTCGAGTTGATTCTGATGCTAGCGAGAAAGGAAGGAGGGTGGATCGATACAAAAATACATTGGGGTAGATCTTAGAGGGCACAGAGCGTGTGGTTGCACCCTTGGGTCAGTTGCCGGACAGTCAAGTCCAGGAACGAGCCAAAGGCGCCACGAATCAGTGGTTCCTCGTGGTCTACGCGTCTACTATACGAGGATTAATTACTGCGCCGTGAACGACTGGAACGCGCGCTGGAGGTCGTTGATGAGATCTTGGACGTCTTCAATGCCAATCGAGAGGCGCACGAGGTCTTCTGGGAACGACCGCGCTTTCCGGACTTCCTCCGGGATGCTGGCGTGGGACATGACACCGGGCAGCGAGATGAGCGAGTTGACGCTGCCAAAGCTGACTGTGATCTTGAAGAGCTTGGTCGTGCTCACCACGTGCTGGCTAAAAGCGAGGTTGCCCGTGCAAAACGTAATGACCGAGCCTGCGCCCCGCGCCTGCGCATAGTGGATGTCGCGGTGGTTGGCCGTCGGGAGGCCCGCGTAGAAGACCTTGGTGACTGCCGGGTGGTTGCTCAGAAAAGCCGCAACGCGCATCGCGTTCTCTTGCGCCGTGAGCACACGGAGACCCATGGTCTTGATGCCGCGCAGCAGGAGCCAGCAGTCCATCGGCGCCAAGCCCGTGCCCTCGGCGTTCTGGACAAAGTAGAGCTCCCGACACAGCTCCGGGTCCTTGGCAATGACAATGCCCGACATCGTGTCCGAGTGGCCGCAGATAAACTTGGTGGCCGAGTGCATGCAAATGTCGGCGCCGAGCACGAGCGGGTTTTGCAGAATCGGGCTCATCATCGTATTGTCGACACTCAAAAGCGCCCTATGCCGAGAAATGTAAGTCTTATTGCAATAAGATTTCGATGCAAAACGCACCCAAACTTGTGGGCGACTGTAGCCAAAGCGGGGATGTTGCAGATGCGCTGCATCGGGTTGGTCGGCGACTCCATCATGACGAGCTTTGTCTCCGTGTTGATGGCTGCGCGGAGGTTGGCCGGGCCGTCGTGGCCCGAGAGATCGACGTACTTGACATGGACGCCGTTGCGCGCTGTGAGCTTGGAGAGGAGGCGGTACGTCCCGCCGTACGAGTCGTCCGAGAGCACAATGTGATCGCCGGCCTTGGCGAGACGCGAGATGGCCGCCAGCGCCGCCATGCCGGACGTGAAGGCAAACGCGCGGTGGCCATGCTCGATCTCGGCCATCTGCCGCTCGAGCGCCGCGCGCGTCGGGTTGCCGGACCGCGTGTAGTCGTATGCGCCAAACTCGGTGGCCGATTTCTGCGCAAACGTCGACGTCTGGTAGATCGGCATCGTCGCCGACCCGTGCGGGTCGTCCTTGCACGCCTCAAAGGCCACGAGCTTGGTGCTAAAGCCATAGGCCGCCTCGTCATCGTCTTCGCTCTCCGAGAGCTGCGCCGACGAGATGTCGTTGCCGTCGAGATTGGTGCGGTGGGCCGGCTTGGGCGACGGCGGGAGCTCGCCCGACGCGAAGCCCGTGACGTACGATCGCTCGAGGAGGCTCTCGAGCTTGGACGGTGCGGCGGGCTCGACCTGGTTCTTGGGCGCCGGCGTTTCCAGGGCCGCGGCTTGATCGCGTTCGTGGACCAGCGCTTGCTCAGCTTGGTAGAACTTGCGCGTGCGGAGGTAGTCGCAGACAAGCTCAAAGACTTCGTCTTCGCCAAGGGATTGCTGCAGAACCGACGACATAGTTAGGCGTCTTATCGAGGAGCGAGCAAATGTGGAACTGCGCAATCATGAGGTTGCCTTTATCATTGCGATGCTTCTGATTGGCCACGTCAGCCGGTTGAAGTGCGGTATGCGGATTACCGTCCGGATACTGCGGGATGGGTTATTCACGCGTGCAAAACGATTTTCACTTTATACAAACATCAAGATATTATGTGCAATTCCCACGGCAAAGATACTTTTCCGCACCAAGGCAAGGACAACCGTGCCCCCTTTGCCGCGCCATAAGAACTGCACTCGAAGCGATACACGGACCGGCGCATTCGAGTGGCCACGAGCTCACGCTCGCGTCGCCATCAAGCGAAATAGCAGCGTAACGGATGCGACGCCTTGCTTTTAGAAAGGACGACGCTTGCCCGGTCTCACTTTGTCACTTTGGTTGAGCTCCTGCACCTGCATGCAAGACTGCGCGCAGCCTCGTGCTAGTAGAACATGTCTGCAGTTCAAGTATGAGGGCGCCCGTGACAGGGTCGAGTAGCTACCAGTACTACAGCTACGCACAGGCGAGCCAGCGATGTACACCCGATCAGAGACAGGAGCGATGGAGTAGCACGAAATGGCCCACTTGCGGTGTCCGCCCGCGGAGTTGCGATACGCCGTGTGCACGTCTCGTGGTTCGCTGGGCGTTTTGCGATGGCGACTTGCTGCGGTGGTGCAGCCTCCCAACGATGCATCTTTCGTGTCATGTGGTGTGCAGAGAATACCCAAAATGATGACCAGCTGCTTGTGATCATAAAGGTTTCGGCCGACGATCAAGGCGCCGGTGATGCTGCTGAGTTATCGCTGTCGCTTGTAGATGGGATCTCGAATGCATAGTCCATCGTACCAACCTAGATTCGCCACATTGATGCTTGCAGCTCATTGGAAGCGAGGACGTACCACGGGATACTTGCCGTGGTAAAACGCAAGTGTCTTCTCTAGCTCCGCGAGTTGCTCGGGCGTAAAGTCGGAAATGTCGTCCGACATGTCCTTGGCTTCGAGTGACGCGATCGTCAAAGCACGAGTGCAAGCCTACATAGGACGTTAGGAACAAGGATATCGAGAGAACAAGCAGCGTACTTTGCCGGCAAACTGGTGGTAGCCGTTGCCCTTCTTGTAGAACCGCTCGCCGCTCGTAACGTCCAGCACCTTGCCGCCCACTGCCATATAGATGGGCTTGGCGTCGTCGGTGCCATCAAAGGCGCCGAGCGTGGCGACAGTGAAGACGGGCAGGTCCGCAGCGGCAACGATGGGCGCGACGTCGTCGGCAGCGTTGCGGTTGAAGAGAAACGGGCACGAGTGGAAGAAGGCCTCTTCGATCTGCGGCCAGAAGACACCGAGGAGCCCGATGAGGAGCGCGAGCAGCAGCAGCCGGCGCGACGACGAAGCCATTGCCGCACACGTCAACTGGAAAATGATCTGATGGCATTTTCCTATGGCACCCTTTTTTTGTCATTAAAGTGCAACTGGCAAGTGGCTAATTACACGCACATTATGAATCCGGCGAGTGCGTTCGCCGTGGTCAGTGGGATTTCGCCGCAGCTCGCATGGATGATGCAGTTTGACGTCATGGTGAGATGATGCTTGTTATAATTCTAGAGCTGTCTCGACGTATACTGTAGAGCGCGATGGAGATACCAAACGTCGTCAAATGGCGTGTTTTCAGCCAACGTACACACTGGCGACACCAGTTGGGTAAAATTAGCTGGCAGCGATGACCACGAGCCGCCAGCCCACGTTCTACGAGCATGTTGTCGCCGGGTCGGTCTCGGGCATGTCGAGCGTCGTCGTGTGTCATCCGCTCGACACGATTCGCACGCGGCTGCAGCACGCCTCGTCCCGGTCCTTTACGTCGGTCGTCGCCAGCACCATCCAGCACGAAGGCCTCCGCGGCCTCTACCGCGGCTTCTTCCCGCCATTCTTCTCCCAGGCCGTGTACAAGTCGGTCATCTTCACGACACAAAGCAAGGTCCGGCAGCTCTTGGCCGCGACAGTCGCTGAGCCGTCGCCGCTGCTCTCGACCATTGTCAGCGGCGCCATCGCCGGGTACGGCGCCGTGTCCTCGACTACTTGACTGACGTGGTGTTCTAGCGGCATCAACGCGACGCTGGTGGCCCCAGTCGAGCTCGTCCGCAACCGCCTTCAAGTGCAGGGCGCGTCCGCGTCGCAGCAGTACACCGGGACGTTCGATGTGATTGCTAAGGTCGTCAAGCGCGAAGGTACAACATACGCATGTCAACACGGATACTTCTCATATCTTATAGGCGTCTTGGCGCTCTGGAAAGGACTGTCGGCAACGATCACACGGGACGCACTCGGCGTGGGTTTGTATTTTGTGGGATTCGATGTCGCCAAGTACGCACGTCTCTGCTCAACAATGCGAAATTGACTCAAGGTGGCTAGGTCCCACCTGCCATCGGACTGGCATCCGACCACCCGTGTGCTCATCGCAGGCGCTCTCGGTGGCATTTCCTTTTGGGCGATCGCGCTTCCGTTCGATACTGTACGTCCCGAGCGAGAGCTCCTTTGCACTCATGCTATGAGCAGATCAAGACGGTGATTCAAGTCAACCCCCATACGACCAAGGGAATGCTGGCCACCGGCGTCGACCTCGTGCGACGCGACGGCCTTGGTCGAGTGTTTTATGGCTGGCAAGCCGCCTTTTCGCGCGGTATTCCGGGCGCCGCCATCACATTTTACGCCTACGACACGACCATGGCGTACCTCCGCCCGCCCGTTGCCTCGTAGAAGAACCGCTCGAGCGTCGCAACAACATAAGTCGTATGCAACCAAATACGTTCTTAGCTGGTGATTTTCGCCTGATGCAGCTGCGTCACGCGGTGGTTCTCGCCCAGAACGTATGCACTGCGCTCGTACGCGGTCGTGTGGTGGGCGGCGGTGGCGGTCGCATTCGCATCCTGCTTTTCATGCGCCGTCGCTGTCCAGTGCAAGAGCTTGATGTGGATAAAGGGTAGATACGGGGCAAGGTCGTTTGCTGCTGCGACGGGCTCGGCCGACCTACTCGACACGTTAGCAAAGCGAGATAGAGCGAAGAGTGTACTCGAGGCGGGCGAGAGCAGCTGCGAGCATCGCGATCGACTGCTCCACGTAGCCCATTTCAACGAGGCATTGACCGAGCGTCGTCATCACGAGTGCTTGCGCCAGCGGGTTGGCGTCGACATGCGTGGATTTCCGCAGCGTTTGCAAATGCCGCAAGGCGCGCCCGTACTGGCCGAGCATGATTTCAGCGGTGGCCAGCTGGAATGTCGCATCGACGTGGCTGCGCGTCGTGTCCTTGCCGTGTAGTTTGTAGCTGCATGGTGTATGTATCAATCCTCTGGTCGATACGACGAGACGATCGCACCTCTCGATGGCCGATTGGAAAAGGTCCTTGGCTTGCTTGGCTTCGCCCATCATGAGGTAGCTGAGCCCAAGGCCATGCGCCACGTCGCCGCTATACCGTGGCGGCGCGTCGAACTGCTTGGCGATCTTGAACATTTGGATCGCACGCAGCGGACGCCAATGCATGCGGTACATGTTGGCCATGTTGGCAACGATCTCGTAGCGCGCTACATGCAATGTGAGAAGTGCAATGTCAAAAGGATGGTACCCGGATGCTCGATCTTGTGTAGCGCGTTGAACGCCGTCTCGTACGCGGCGCTGAGCGCCTCAAACTGGCCGCCGCCCGAACGCAGCGCCGACGTGCCCATGAGGTTGATGGACGCAGCCAGGTTGTAGACGCCAAAGTTGTCTTGGTTGGCTAGCCATCGCTTTGTTCGGCAAGGAGTTGTCAAAGAGACCTGTACCTTCGTCTAGCGTCATGGCAGCGATGAGAAGCTCGTGAGATTTGGTAAAGTCGCGCTGAAGCATGTACCCGAGGCCGAGGTCGGCGAGCCCGTTGGCGTACAGCGGATGATCCTTCCCGCGCGTGCGCTCGATGTAGCTTTGCAATTGCTCGAGGATCTCAATGCCCGAGGCAACGTCGCCTTCGCCGTACAACTCGAGCGCCACGAGCACGTCCTTTTCCTTCTCAAACTCCGAGTCGCCGTAAAGCGCCTGGACTTCCATGGACGAGAGCTTGTCGAAAGCCGCCTTATCTTCCTTGAGCACGCCAATCTTGCCGAGGAGCGTGTCGATTTCCGTGGTCTTGAGCATCTTGTCACCGGCCTCACTGCCCAAAGCGCGGTTGAGATCGGCCCACCGCATGCGAGGCAGCGTGTAGGGCTCGTAGGGCATGAGCGGGATGACGTCGATCTCGGAGACGCTGGCCGAGAACTCCTTGCCGCAACAGGTCGTGGCGAGAAGAGAGGCGACTGCGGCGGCGGCCCGGACAAGTGCCATGGTCGTAGGAATTGCGCAACTGAGCCGCTTCACGGAACCTCGCGATCTTTGGAAATATCGAATCTCGGAGGTATCCACCGTATGGCGCCACGTCATGGCTTCGATATTTTTGCTTCCACGAATTTCCCACAAGCTGCCAGCTCAGGTCCGTAGACTCTAGTCAGGGGTATGTAACAGCTATTATGGACTCATGACTCTAGTGTCCCCCACGAGCAGTATATACCAACAACGGCGTCTGCCCATCACAGCCCGGGTCATACACGTATGTATGACTGCAGCCACGCCGTTTTGCGTCAGTCAAAGCTTAGACGGGCCTTATTTAGTGCAGCTCGGTCGAGACTCTAACTAGCTACATTCTGTAAGAGCGCTCTCTATGTTTTTGCGGTGCGACGCAGAGATGTCGAGCTGGTGCTGTCCTTCTGGCCTTGGCCCAACGCCCGGATAACCATGGATCATCCGGTTAAACGGCACTGTAGCATGACCTTCCGCAGCATTGTCGGGCAGCCCGAGATCGCATCGATGGTGTTTGCGTTTCAGTTTGGCTTGTATGAAGACGTGCGTCCGGCCTTTCTCGCTTGCAACGAGCTCGTCGAGTTTGCCGATCGTCGGGCCACGTACGAGGGCGACGTCTCGTTTCGCATGGCACCAACCGCTGCGTGAGAAGACGCCACGCGATTCCTCGCAGTATCGTCTTCTTGAAGAGCAGCGCGACGTGCGCTTGCCGCTGCATCTAGCGATTGTCGAAGGCTATGTGTAGTTGACCAAGCGTATCGTCCAGTGTCGGCCGGCCCTCGCCTCGGAAGACGCGATTCACTTGGCCTTCAACACGAACCGCCTGAGCTCCTACTCGATCACATTGGGCCCGAGCTTCGTCGAGGCAACAGCCTCGTGCGCGCTAAAGGCATGCTGCTTCATGTCTGAACATGGTCCTAACGCAACATCGATGGCACCGGGATACGCTCGGTGCATTGCAGACACGAATACGCAAACCAGCACTCGGCCTTTCGCGCCTGCGGTGAGCTTTGACGCCAACGATGGCATCTATAACA